AGAAATAAAAAAGAATCATAATTATAAATTCAACATTCAAAAATCAGGTACATATTTATATGCATGTGGTCAAAGAGAAGCAAAACAAATTATGAAAGTAACTCCAATCACACTGCATCAAAAAGACTCAAATAGGGGCCTCCCGGTGGCACAGGGGTTAAGTCTCAGCACAATCAGGCTAATGCCAGCCAGTGAGTGACCTCAGGGCGGCCAGGGAGTGACCGCAGGGCGCAGCAGACCCCTCCTGTCTCCTGGCTGTGCTGCCCCGTAAGCAGTGGGCCTCGGTGGATCCGCCTGTCCTGCTCCCCACTGTCTCTGGTGAATCCTCTCACCCTGCACCTCTGGCCTGGACCCCAGTTCTCGTGTGTATAAGTAAATAAATATGGATAGATGAAAAAAAGAGGAAGTATATAGCCTAGTGGTGTAGCCTTTTGGGGAAACCATTAAAATAAATGCATATTCCTTACTCCCACTGTACACTGTGAAATGAATGTTAAAGACCAACAAGGCCACAACCAGGCCCGCAATTCCAGGCAATGAGGAAAAGTCAGCTACAGGAAGGAGGAGAGGTCAGCAGACAGGAGGGAGCTGGACAGTGAGTGGGTGTGGGGGGCAGGCCAGGGGCCATACAAGACCCTTAGGGTAAGGAGAATGCAGTCAGCAGGGCCTTGTGGCCGGGCCTCACCCAGCGAGGACAGCAGCGCCAGACTCTGCAGCATCACCTCGCGGTACAGGTCCTTATGGGCCTGCAGGCGGAGATCCCACTCCTCCCGGGAGAAGCGCACGGCCACGTCCTCGAAGGCCACGCTGCCCTGGCGGGACACAGGAGACCACCGCTTCCCCTCTGTAGGAACACCACCCTCTGCGCCGCGCTCCTCTTCCTGGGAGCTGCCCACTGCAGACAAGGGACCAGGGCCTGAGGCCAGCACAGCGGCAGTCCCCAGGCGCTCACTGCCAGGGTTCAGCACTCACCCATCACCGGGGTGTGTTGGGGCAGGAGGCCAGGGTCCGTCAAGCCCTGGACTTGGCCATCCTGGCCACCAAGCCGTCCCCGGGACCTCCACTCCTCCAAAGCAGTGGAAAGTGGGGCTGTTCCACCCAAGGGCCACTTCAGGGCGGTGGGCCACCAGCTGTCAGTGTGCATCTACCACAAACGCCCCTGCCCAGTGTCGGGTCCGCGCGGCTACCTCGCCCAGGGAGAGCGATGCCCACATGTAACCTGCACAGCACAGCTCGGGGCTCTCCTGACCCCAGGCCAGGAGAGGCCGCACAACCAGGGCTGAGATGGCAACGCGACTGACCCCGTGCTTCGACCTGGTGCTTACGCCCCCTGCTCCCTCGCCCCAAGGGGAGCCCCCAGCCCCCCAGGGTCCCGTCCAAGCACCACCCTAAGCGCCTGGTCCTCCTGGTCCTCCACCGCGGCAGCCCCCCAGTGCGCCCGGAGCGTGCCCGAGCGTTCCGGGAGGCCCCGTCCTGCACCCCTGGCGGCGCCCCACGCTTCTCCTCACTGCTCTCGCGTCTCAGACCCGCAGGCCCGAGCCGCGCGGCTCCCATGCAACCAGCCGGACGCGGGTAGACGCGCACGCCAGCGCCCCAGCAGCCGGCGGCCTC